AAACGAATGTTAACACAGACACGTCAAAAAAAGCAATTCCTCCACAAACATACAAGCGTAGCACAACGCTTCTCTCCTCTATATAAACATGACCAAAGGTTACTCGCACTATTCAATGTGAATACGCCCCAAAACCAGTGATTTGAATTCATTATGCATGTACAAAAACAAAATCACATAAAAGATAACGAAATACTGGATTGCATCGGCGATACGTTCAATTGTAAAGTAAGTTGATTCTGATACAAACACACGTAAAAGCGTTAATTACATAAGCACGATCCAATAGCAATACCTGAATGATCAGCACTGAATGGATCGATCGGAGACGGATGGAAGAGAGAAAGCAAAGTAACGTACGGATCTGAGAGCAAATCAGCTACCAAATCATGCAAAATTGGATTTCTTCACAACGACGGTTTACGGCGAGAAGGCAGAGGCAGTGTCCGGAGGCGGACGGCGGATCAGATCGGGAGAGATTAGATAAAAATCCGTATTGTAGGTGAGAATTTATATGTGAATGGGGGTATAGAAGAAAGGAAGTGAAAATAAGATTCACCTCCTTTTTCGGGTAAAATTACCTAAAATGCCATACTAATTTGTCAGTTTGAGATCTAGTAAAAGAATAGAACCTTGGGTTTTCTGATTTGGTTAAAAGAAGGTTAGTTGAAAAAACTGACCGTACTTGGACCCGATAAGGACAGGCGGATTTTCCTTAGCTATGACGAAGACGGAGTGCCACGTCAGATGCCTCTGCCAATAAACTACTGCCATGTCACTTAGAGGCGTTACTTTTCCCATGTCAGCAGCAAACCATGGGCTTGAGTTTTCCGCATTTTACATTGCAGGAATTATTATTTTTTACCGCGATTTTTGTGTAGTTAAATTTACTGTATGAAAATCCAGAAACACGATTCTCTAAAAACTTGTCCACTTGTATTAAGCACGTTGACAAATGTATGGTACAATAAGATGTAAAATGCTTGAATTTTCTCATTACAATTCAAAAAAATCTTACATAGAAAATTGTATGCTAGTATTTGGTCAGTTTTTTTTGGGTCCACAAATCGTTCAAAAATCCACCAATTTAAGGAAATATCATTGAATTTTCATTTCCAGCTAAGGCTCTGCCTCTTCTATCTATCCTTCGTTCAAATACTGATCACGCCCAACTATGCCTTATAAAAAGGATTCTGCGGATGTTGCAAATATAACCCGAGTATTACGCCCAGGGTCGAATCCACAGAGAGTTAACCTATCAACCACTATCTTCAGACCCACTAATTCTTCAGAACCAGCTTCCCAAATATTCAAATCTCAGTTGAATGTTCTTTAGCAACTACGCTTGCAAGTAACTAAATAGCTGTAAACTAAACTAATAAGGTTGTAAACAATTATGAGGAAAAGCTAAGGCAATGATTTCCCCTATTGATGGAATCCCTTATGTTTATGCTCATACAAATTTACCAACACATCTCTATCAATCATGAACGCTAATCTTACCGTAAATCTCTCCCGAGTAATCACAGTAATTTTACTATTGCACTCTCCCGAGATACACTAGCTTATTTTATTTAGCACGATTCACTTTAGATTACACCCAAGGCTTCGTTATCCCTAATCCCGCCTTTAAACCCGCAATTATAGATTCCTCTAATAATCTAGGAGTGGTATTGTTCAACAATACCCTAAATATGCACTCTTTTCCAAGTTATGCACACTAAATAGGCACAGCTAATTGAGGATCCTATCAATTAAATACAACAAACACGAAGTTGAACAAATAGAGATTAAACTAGCAATTTGTATTCACATAAACAAGAAGTTCATCACCCAATAGGTTCCATCAAAACCTTAAACAAGGAATTTAGCTACTCATGGCTATGGAAAAATAAACTAAGATTGAATTCATCATAAAAATCAAAAGAAAAGAAGAAAGATGGTTGGAGTGTTCTCTCACAATGGTTTTCCTTGCTAAGAAACCTTAAAAATCAATACATGCCTCTCTTGGGCGAAGTCTAATGTTTTAAATAGGGTTTAGGTCTAAAAATTCCGTGTTTTACACTTTGGTCCCTGAAGTTTTCGGCTTTTGCCAAGGTTCTGCCGCGGTCGCGGTCAAACCGCGGCCAAAAACCTTCTCTGATTCTGAGTCCACAAACAAGCTTAGACGTCCACTCTCAAGTTCTTTTTGCAAGTGCGCACATTTGGGGTTACATTCTGACCTTCACCCATCTAATCCTAAAACTACAAAAGAAAGAAAAAAAAATCTACCCAATCCGGTTCAAGAAAAGCCCTTGGAAAAGAACCGTGGTCAAAAGAAAAACCAAGGGGGAGGTACTACACTACCTAAAAGAAGAAAATAAAATAAAAAAATTCTACATGGACTACTTCCCTCAAGAGTACTGTCCACCTAATCCGTCATCAGGAAGAGTCCTCTACAAGTTTTTTTTTTTTTTTATATATCTGACTTTGACCCTCAAGAGACCCGTCAACAAGTGTCCGTCGTTGGGCCAAGTCAGCTACTCCTAATATAACACACTCACATATATACAACACATCACTCTAATGCTACAGCACAACAACATCTATATACATTACAATACACAGTTAGAGCAAGTCTCCCACCCCACACTTAAAATCATGGCATGTCCCCATGTCATTTTAAGAAAGTAAAGAGCAGAAGGGTTAGAAGACTTCCCTGAGACTCATTCAGAGTCGGAGACGGTGCTGGGGTCTACATGGAAAGCTCTCCCCAATGCACGCAACCAGGCCNACTTTTGTATATCTTCAGTGATTCAAGTGCGTCTAGGAGTAAGGTTCAAACATTAGCTTATTCAAACACAGCGATTTAGATCATTATAGGGTTATCAAATAACAGGCTTCAGGCTCAAAGGGGTTAACTATGGTAATATGCACAGGTGGATTCTCAAGTATAGAGGGTTGCACAAAGAAATGCCTCAATCATCTCTAAAACCAACGACTTCTATTTCGCTTTGCACACATACAGGGCAAGTTCTAGGTATCATATGCAAGCATAGGATGCAAGTAACAACTCACACACACTTAGCATGTAACTCATTCCGAATCAGTTCATCAACACAATCATACGAGTGTTCAAGCAAGACAATATGTGCAAAATTAAGGCATATATTATGAGTCCACAAACAAGCTTAGACGTCTACTCTCAAGTTCTTTTCTTTGCAAGTGTGCACATTTGGGGTTATATTCTGACCTTCACCCATCTAATCCTAAAACTACAAAAGAAAAAATCTACCTAATCCGGTTCAAGAAAACCCTTGGAAAAGAACTGTGGTCAAAAGAAAAACCAAGGGGGAGGTACTACACTACCTAAAAGAAGAAAATAAAATAAAAAAAATTCTACATGGACTACTTCCCTCAAGAGTACTGTCCACCTAGTCCGTCATCAGGAAGAGTCCTCTACAAGTTTTGTTTTGTTTTTTTTTTATATCTGACTTTGACCCTCAAGAGACCCATCAACAAGTGTCCGTCGTTGGGCCAAGTCAGCTACTCCTAGTATAGCACACTCACATATATACAACACATCACTCTAATGCTACAGCACAACAACATCTATATACATTACAATACACAGTTAGAGCAAGTCTCCCACCCCACACTTAAAATCATGGCATGTCCCCATGTCATATCAAGAAAGTAAAGAGCAGAAGGGTTAGAAGACTTCCCTGAGACTCAATCAGAGTCGGAGACGGTGCTGGGGTCTACATGGCAAGCTCTCCCCAATGCACGCAACCAGGCCATAAACCGGCTCTCAGATCTAGCCTGCCTCTGTGACATGGCGTCCATCAGCGTGTGTAGGCCATCCACCGAGGTGCGGAGATCCGCGACCTCTTCCTCCAAGNACTTAAGGTTCTAAAAGGCAGCAAGTTATAGGGGATAGAGGCAGATGAAAAACTATGTGATTCCAAATAGCACTCAAGTTTCCACAAGCAGAACCTTAAAGGTATGATTTTGATGTCTTTGAACATAGCTTCTAAAAGGGAAATTTTAAACTACAGTGAATGAAACAACTGAGTAGCATGAATACTTAAGGCAAAATAAATGCATAGGTAAAGTATATTTTGAAACTCAAAGAATGCTATACAAGAGATAAACATGGACAGAACCATAAGCAGAGGCAACCAAATCACAATCTTACAGAAGAAAAGAAAATACACAATCTGCAATAGGCGTAATAATGCTGGCGAGGCAACTCATCGAAGCGACATGAAAAGAAAAAATGCATCACATTAACAAAAGCGGTAAGTCAACAAAAAGAATTTCACAGAGCAAACCAAGGAAGGAGCAGTGAAGTTTCTGACCAAAAAGGATATAAAACATACAGAAACTATACACGATAAAACATAATATAATTCATTTTTTGTGTGTCAGAATGTGTGCAAATAACCAAAAAACAGATTTCAAGCAAAATAGCCAACTCCCCCAAAAGGGCATTAAACGAAATAGGATAATCTGCCTCTTGATTTCCGTTCATATAACCACATCACAGAATATACAACAGGAGGAAAAGTGGCTCAAAAACAGAATTGCTTTCCAGCCAAAATAGAGCAAATTCTGAACTCTTCGTGGTTATTCCTTCACTGTGCCGAGGCACCTCTCCAACCAATAACCATCAAATATATGCCACTTTATCATAAATTCATAATCTGTTAGAAGTGTGCAGGATACTCATCCTTTTTTTCCTCTCAAGGATGGATGGGAAGACAAAAAAGCAGTTTCTTGATGACAATCAAACTGCGAACAAATGAACTACAAATACCACGATGAATATATGTATTTGTTCTTAAATCTTATAGCCTCTTAAGACATATACTTAGCACTCTTTATATTCCAAACACTGAATTTAACAAAAGAAATTTAGGAAAAGATGCAATAATATTACAACTACAGAAAAACCATAATACAAAAATATACAAGAGTAAAATCAATAGAAGATGCTTACATATGTTCTTGAAGCACGCGGCTCAACCCATTCTCTTGTACCGTCCTTTTCGTTTTCATATGTTTGTCCTCAAAAACCTCAGCATAAGTCACAAGTCTTTTTTTTTCCTTTTCCTGCAAAAAAAAAAAAATTTAAGTTAGATAAAGTTCAATCGCATATAGTTAAAATCAAAGCAAATATAATAAGAAAGTTACAATTCTCCTTCGATGGGTCTCCATACTAACTGAACCCCCAGTATGCAATGAGCCACCCGTATTGGAGGCTCGGACAGCCTTTGCAGCATTGCTCCTCTTCTTAAATTCTTCAGAGGTCCACGTCACATTAAGTCTATCCCATATGTCTTTTTGTATCTAACCGGGCATCTTTTGATCGAGTCGAGCCTCTTTTTTCTCGAAATTATGACTTATTTGCTGATGATATTTGGAAAGCCATGCACATCTTGTCTACAAATAATTTAAAACATTAGATGAAATAAGAGTAATTTGATAAATAATATAAAATTTATTGGTTTCGCACCCTAAATTGATTCCACATCTGGTCTCTGTAAATGTACGGTATATCTGACCATTTACTCCAAGCATCTCGATAAAATGCTTTAACACAATCCACAACTACCTTCGTAGATTCATTGGAAGGAACAAGCCGGGTGGCAGTGAAGTCTGCTGAGGAGGAGGAGGATGACTCATAATTGGCACCTGCGCAGACGAAGTAGTGGAACCTGAAGTATGCTGAGGAGGAGGAGGACTCATAAATGGCAAAGACGAGGTAGTGGGACCTAAATTATGCTGAGGATGCTGTAAAGCATGTCTTGTCTTCGTTTTTTTACCAGGTGCCATCTGTGTAATATAAGCATATAATAAAATATTTTAAGACATAACAAATATAAAGTAATTCTTCAACATATATGGCATACTTGTATTGTTCTACAATTGAAAAGACACTTAATTATATAGTAGATTTATATCGTGTATTTGTCCATTAACCCATTGCCTTTATGGAAAACTAACTGGATTGTTCAGAAAGTTTTATTACTCTATTTTTCACTGTCAAAAATATTATAGTAGATGGTTTCCTATAATATGAAGCGCATAGTCTGAACAATAAGAAGCAAGGCAAATTGCCAATACCATAGGATTTACAATATTAATGAAAATAAAAGCAAACATGAAGTCTTATTAACAATGCATATTAATTAACCAGCATTGCATTGACAAAATCACTCTACACGGTTGTACACACATGTATATAATACTGAAGAAGTCAAACAACATGTACATTTCTTAATGGACTGTAATAAACCTGATCAGTTTCACAGTTAAATGTAGGTTCTCCTATATTTTTTAACAAAATGAGGCCAAGCTTTTAAAACTCTAGTCTTAGAAGAGGGGAATTCCACAAACTCAGGATTCACATACATCTTTGCATCTACTGGCTGTCCTGACATCTTGTTTACGTTGTTCTAAACTTTTAGTAAATTGATTAGCTACAGTGATATTCTCACAAAACTTCTCATGATTGACATAGATAAACAGTTTATTGATAAATTCCTTAGTTCTGAAGTTGTCTTTTCGTTAGTTTGCACTTCATTTGTTGAGACCAGCAAGTTAGAAGAAAATCCCATATTATAGTTAATAAGGGTAGTAAATTATGCTTTTAGAAGCTTGAATAGTTATGAATCCCTTGGTCCAATAATTCATCTGTTCTTTCTTTGTTGTTTTATATGCACCTGCCATAATGCAGTCAAATATAGCCCTAAATCTTCTTCTGCTTCAACTTGCTACTTCGGTTTATACTTATCTCTTTTGATCTAGACTTTTAATGTATGGAAATCTGATGTGCTCTGCACATAATCATCACAGATTCCAGGTTATGTTGAGCATTTACCGTCTATTTTCTCCTATAGTATGCATTTTTGCTCGTACTTTTTANACCTGAGCACCCAAATACAACTAACCGTAAATTTTCAATGAAAAAGTTTAGAGAGAGAAACTGACTACAATAAGAATCTTTGTATTTCTGTCAATGGCAATTGATAATTCCGTTAACTCCCCGGCAACGGCGCCAAAATTTGATCACGCCCAACTATGCCTTATAAAAAGGACTCTGCGGACGTTGCAAATATAACCCGAGTATTACGCCCAGGGTCGAATCCACAGAGAGTTAACCTATCAACCACTATCTTCAGACCCACTAATTCTTCAGAACCAGCTTCCCAAATATTCAAATCTCAGTTGAGTGTTCTTTAACAACTAGCTTGCAAGTAACTAAATAGCTGTAAACTAAACTAATAAGGTTGTAAATAATTATGAGGAAAAGCTAAGGCAATGATTTCCCCTATTGATGGAATCCCTTCTGTTTATGCTCATACAAATTTACCAACACATCTCTATCAATCATGAACGCTAATCTTACCGTAAATCTCTCCCGACTAATCACAGTAATTTTACTATTGCACTCTCCCGAGATACACTAGCTTATTTTATTTAGCACGATTCACTTTAGATTACACCCAAGGCTTCGTTATCCCTAATCCCGCCTTTAAACCCGCAATATAGATTCCTCTAATAATCTAGGAGTGGTGTTGTTCAACAATACCCTAAATATGCACTCTTTTCCAAGATGCACACTAAATAGGCGCAGCTAATTGAGGATCCTATCAATTAACTACAACAAACACGAAGTTGAACAAATAGAGATTAAACTAGCAATTTGTATTCACATAAACAAGAAGTTCATCACCCAATAGGTTCCATCAAAACCTTAGACAAGGAATTTAGCTACTCATGGCTATGGGAAAATAAACTAAGATTGAATTCATCATAAAAATCAAAAGAAAAGAAGAAAGATGGTTGGAGTATTCTCTCACAATGGTTTTCCTTGCTAAGAAACCTTAAAAATCAATACATGCCTCTCTTGGGCGAAGTCTAATATTTTAAATAGGGTTTAGGTCTAAAAATCCCGTATTTTACACTTTGGTCCCTGAAGTTTTCGGCTTCCGCCGCAGTTTTGCCGCGGTCGCGGTCAAACTGCGGCTAAAAACCTTCTCTAATTCTGAAATCACCCGCAGCTGTCTTCCATCGCGGTTCTACCGCGGTCGCGGTGGAACCGCGGTAAAACCAGTGCTCTGAATCTTCGGCCTGTTTTGCATGGTTCACTTGGGAAATTTCACAGTTGGCCTCTTTTTCATCAATTTTGACTCCAAAACTGCTCCTTAGCCTTCCTTATACATATATCACCTGCAAATCATGAAAAGCACTAATAAAAGCATTTTGTTATCACTTTTAGTATTAAAACTACACAAGAAGGTGATTATTTAAGGCGTGATTATAGTCAAATTCACCTATTATCAAATACTCACGATTTTAACCCAATTAGCTTTGTCTCGATAAATTTAGTTTAGCTTTGTTAACGACCATCCAATACTAACCAATATCTCTTAAAGTAAACCAGAGATTTTCAGTTCTCATAATTATCCGTGCAAGAATAAATGTGTCATAAATTATTAAGTTTAGGGAAGATCCAACTAATTAATCAACTCTTCTTTTGGTAACAATGAAAATATTATCATTGACATCAACATTGTTACACTTGTAGGGCAACCTTAATCTATCCGCAAATGATAGGCCTCCAACTCAACGATTTCTAATTATAAAGTATCCGCTGGACAAAACTCCTACGCCTTTGTGCTTTCTTTGACATCCTTATAAACTCTATTAGCTTTGTAACTCTCCTCTTTATTAGTATTACTATCTCTATTCTAATTCCTAGCTCTCCAAGCGTGGTATAACACTGCTCCATTGACTGGTGCTATCACCTCTTTTTTGAACTGCTTCCGGTGCTTCCTTTTAATTGTTCTCATCATCTGCTTGAAATCACATTCCTACACTATTTGTCCTATCCACTGGTTGACCTCGTGGGTAATTACTTTGATCTAACCACAGTCAACAAACAAATGATCCTTTGGTTCCAGCTGCTCTTCTTTTCACACGCTGCGGTTTATATTGTCCACGTGGATTTGCATCCCAACTAGACTATCTTTGGTAAGCAATCTCCCTTGAATTGCTAACCATATTATGAATTTGTGTCTATGTTGAGCCAGAACAGTCCACACCAAGTCCGCAATCTCTAGTCGTGGCTGTTGATTAGCAATAGCAAGGTAACTAGTGGTTATAGAATATCTTCCTCCTAAAGTTAGCATATATATGTCTTGTGAATACCACCCTTGCATCACTCCTTTAAGGGAGTTTAACTTCCTCCGATATTAACTAGTATATATAGGAGGAATGTGTGACCAAATATTATGGTCAGTTTTCATAAAGACTCCATGAACCCATCGCACCCAAAGGGACTCCTTGTTCATCACTAACTGCCATAATAGCTTACCTACTGATGCTAAGTTCCATCTTTCACATTCAGATCCCCTAGTTTGTTTGGGTAGTAAACTTTCTCCCATGCAACCAATGACACTTTCTTCTGTCTCTCGGCCTTCCCCCACGAATATTCTTTACATAGTCTATCTACCTCTTTTAACACACTTTGAGGTAGAATAAAGACATACCCCATAAACTATGTATAGAAAAGATCACTGCATTAACTATCTGTAACCCTCCTGCATAGGACAATTGCTTAGAGTAGGTGACAATGATCCTATGTGTAATCTTCCCAACCAGCATTTGGCAATCGATCTTGTTCCATTTCGTTTGTGATAATGGCAATCCTAAGTACCTCATAGGAAATGTACCTAGTGCAAATCTTATTCTTGCTAGCAGTAGATCCCTAACCCCTTCTTCTACTCCAGTAAGAAACATACTAGATTTGTCCATATTGGCTATCAGACCCGAGACTTTGCTGAAGTGGTCTAATGCTTCCATGACTCTACTGACTGAGTTTTCATAGCCTTTACAGAAAATTATCAAATCATATGCAAAGATGAGATGAGTCAATTGCAACTCTTTACACATAGGATAAAACCTTAAATCAGGTAGCCTGCTTATGGTCTTTAGAGTTCTAGAGAGGTACTCATCACCAAGACAAATAACAAAGGAGAGATGGGGTCTTCTTGTCTCAATCCTCTCTTCCTAGCAAGGTAGCCATGCCTCTCTCCATTTATCTTTAGTGAGGAGTCCGAAACCTAAATATGGTTGTTTTTGACTCAAAATACGTTTTTAACTGTTGAAAAAAGAGTTACTTTTCTATATATAACGCAGTACAGTACCGCGTTTTACCTTAACGACCGTTTGGACGTTAAGGTAAAATGCGGTATGTAACCGCAATTTATATAGAACGCGGTTATATACCGCGATTTACAGGGATTTGAAAAGACGGGTATATAAAATGCGGTTCATTACCGCGATTTATATAAAATACGGTAATGAACCGCGTTTTATATAGAAATTTTTTATATCCCTTCCTTTTCCCCACTGCCCAACGTCTTCTTCTTCAATTAAAAAAGAAACCCCCCCCTCCATTAACAACCAAAAAGACCTCGTGTGGACTCCACCCGTCCCACAAAAAGTAAAGATTCTCGGTCCCACATCTTAGCTAAGGCAATATTTCGTTGTGGGTCGCTCATGTCGGCTTCAAATCGCCAAATCTTCAACTTTCCAAAAACCTTAAATCGAGGTATTCCAACTTAGTTTTTGTTAAAACTCATATAAACAATGCATATTAGTTGTTTTGAATGTGTTGTATGTTGTTTTGTGTTTTTTACGATTAAATTGGTATATTATTTTTATCCGGACTAAGATATTAATGTTGTAAAAAAATCTAATATAATCGTGAAACCGTTATGATTTATTAATAAAAATGTTAATAAATTACTATT